CTGGAGCATCAGTGGAGCCCCTGAGAGCTGGGGCTCCAGAGTTGGGGTACAGCCCAGGCAAAGATCAAGAGACAGGGCACAGGGCCCACCAAGAGTAGGCTATCCTGCTGGCTAATGCTGAGGTGGGGAAAGCAAGCCGAGTCGGTAGCGGCAGCCCAGGGTACCGGGGGACTCTGCTACTTAATTCTGGATGCCACACAGGTTTTGGAGCAGGGAAGGGCTGGAGCTGAGCTCTGGTGGACAAAAGTGACTGCCTAGGGCAGAGGGCCCAAGCTGGGAGAAGCCGGAACCAGGAACACAAATAGCAGTTGTTAAACAGTCAGAAACCAACGAGGGGCCTGATGTGGAGGAAGAAGGAATGGAGGGAACAGAGATTGGAGACTGGGGGTGGGGAGGTGGATAGTGAGGACACAGGGGACTGAGGTTTCAAACAGAAGTGACAAGGGTGAAGAATTCACAGATAATCCTTCTCAGCAGGAGAAGCCTATGGGGGACAAAGGATGATGAGTTCCCTTGGGAATCAGGTGGAGGCTCCAGGACTGCAGGTGGAAATGGGGCTGGGGGGGCGGGGGGAGCTCCAGGCGGGAAAGCAAGGGGCTACAGGCTCCTGTCTGAGTCCTAAGCGGAGCAATGGTGGCTGGGGCTGTGCACTGAGGACAAAGCCTGGGGCAGGCACACACAACAGGACTGAGAGAGCGGCGGCCGCTGAGGGGGAGGGAATGCAGGCTGTGGGTGTGTGCGGGGAACCCCCCCGGGAGCACTGCTGTGTCCGGTGGCAGGAGCAAGGGGCAGGCCGACCGAGAGGACGGAGAAATGAGTGGAGATGAGAAAATGGGGGCCAAAAGCATTAGGTCTTCTTCCAAGATGAGCACAGGAAAAAGACTCAATTTTAGAAGGGAAGAAAACCGACCAGGTTTCCAAGCAAAAGGGGAAGAGCCAGGCAGAGGACAGGAAGGAGGGAAAACAGGGCTTCTGGCACAAGACTCTGGAGAAGGCGGGGGACAGCACTGTTTCCAAGGTTGGGGGAGACCCCCCCCACACACACCCCAGGAGTGGTGGGAAGGGATACGGTGGAGAGGAGGGACGGCCAAAGTGTTCAAGCGTGAACACCTCCAATAAGGTCACCTGCACAGAGCAGGTGGGGCAGGTGTGAACATGACAGGTCACCAAGAAGGACAAGCTGGTCCCACCAGGCCGGCCAGTGTCCTCCAAATGGGCACCCGCACGCTGCCAGAGAGGGCACAACTCCCAAAGCCAGCAGCCTGGCCCCGTGGCTGAGAGTACGGGCTATGGGGGGTTACCTGCCTGGTTTGAGTCTCACTCAGCACTGCCACTTACTGTAGCTTCCTCATCCAAAACGATGAACGGAATAAGACTATCTGCCCCACAGGTGTGACGGAGCGAGATGGAATTTGACCCTCAAACTGTTACATATCCTATCTTCCTGGCCACATGTATCGTGAACCTTTAAAATACTTGCACCTTTTGACTCTGCGATCTTACGCCTAAGAATCTACTCCTAAGAAGATAATGAGAGAGACTCTCTTGCACGAAAACATTCACCGCCGCATCACGGGATTATTAGAAAATGATTAACTTATGACACACCTGTATGCTGCAGTGTTAGAAGCCTTGCTGATGAAGTGCCCCTAATGGCACAGGAAAGGGCTCTAAGATGTAATGAAAGAGAAAGCCAGTGACCATATGGCCTATACTGAACTTGGTAAACGCAGATGTAGAGAAACACTGGCGGTGTTAGCGGTGGCTATCCCTGGGTGGTGGCCCTCTAGCTCGCTGTTTTCCTCTGTGTGTTTTCCTACATTTTCCACAGCAGAAACGTAATCCTCCTCTTAGAAAGAACAATGTTAAGATTTCAGCAGCCCTGCCGAGGTTGGAGCCCTAGGTCTGCAGTCTTAGGGGGAGTGGGCAGAGCACAGCACAGGCCCCCGGAGAGGAGGGGGTAGACAGGAGGGTCAAGCCCACGTCAAGGGCCTGGCAGCCCCACAGGATGCCCAGCCAGCTCTCACCCTCCAGTTCCTCCAGCTGCACCTCTCGAAGGCTCTCCTTGCCCAGCGCCCGGGCCACTTCTTCACACTGGCGCCGCCGCAGAGGGTACTCGCTGGAGCCCAGCGAGTGGCGGACGTTGGAATTGGTGACGAGCACGGCCAGCTTGGGTTCTGACAGCGGCACCAGGCTTGTCTCCAGGGACCTGGCATGGAGTCGGAGTGGGGAGATGACAAGCCCAAGTGTCTGCTTGCCACACCAGGTGGTGGGCACGCTCCACCCAGAAGCTCCTCATGACGAGGTGGGAGGGTACAAGGGGAGCCCCTGACCTGCAGTCAATGAGCAGTGCGTGGCCTTTCTGCCCCAGCAGTGCGATGAGCTGGTCCATGATGCCACAGGGCACCCCTGCGAAGCTGTGTTCGGCCCGCTGACACACCTGAGCCCGGGCAGCTATGGACCCGGAGTCTGCGGCACAGGGGGAGGTGAGGAGGTTGGGGCCCAGGAGGGGGGCACGTAGGAGTGGGCGAACGGGAGCAGTGGGACCTCCAAGGACACTCCAGAGCGATTCCCCACCCTCCTCCGGAAGCCACAGTCGAGGAACAATCTCTGACAAGGAAACCTCAGGGAAGGAAGGCTGGGGTCTAGGAAGTACCTGGGCAGAGCTGCTGCAGGAAAGTGTATGTGGCCACTTCCAGGGACGCCGAGCTGGACAGCCCGCCCCCCAGGGGCACTGAGCTGACCACCACTGCACTGAAGCCAGGGAGGGGAGCAGCTGGAAAGAATGGGTGATGGTAAGATGAGCCATCTGGGAGGATGGGCCCACGAAGGGCATGTATTTTGTTATGCAGGCAGGCAATGCCTGATAGCTGCTTCCAGGGCTGTGTCTCCATCCTCCTACCCTGAGGTTCCTGGGACACAGTCTTCCCAACTCTCCTCCTGGTTTAGGGCTCTGGAGGCCAACAAGCTAGGGTTTGAATCCTGGTCCGCTAATCATAAAATGGGCAGCTCAGGACAAGTTCTGGAACCTCTCAGGGTATCAGTTTCATCATGTGTAAAACAGGGATACCCTCCCCTATACGTTACCCCATGGTGGATTAGATGAGCTGAGGAGCTTTGCGGCTGAGAGGTGGTGCTCCTATACTACCAGCATGAACTTGACTCAGCCCTAATCCCCATACCTGGGTAGTGCTGAATCACTCCCTTGACATAGTTGGCCCAGCGGGGGGTCCCGGGCTCCAATGACCGCTGGGCTGTGGGCAGTGGAAATTGGAGCCGCCGGGGCTCATCAGCATCTTCGGAGGTGGTCAGGAGGGAGACAAGGCCGTCTGCCCGGGGGCTGCCCACCAGCACAGTCACAAGCTCCAGCGCCTGGCAGGAAAGACAGGGGGTATGTAAAGCTTTTGCCAGGCGACCCATGGATGAGGCTTCTCTGATACTAAAGTTCTGAGAAATAAAAAGTTTCAGACAGATTTCTTTTAAGGCTCAACAGGAAGGAATT